AACAGCTTGAGAGTGGAAAAGAGGGCAAGAATAGATTAGAACTCCGCTACTATCAATGAAAAGTTATTCCATTTAATTTAGTGAAGTAACATACTTATACTAAAACTCATTCCTAAGTTGTGTCTACGATAGTGGTGTAGCATGAAAATAAAGACATGGCTAAAATTTACACCCTCTCCTTTGTACCCAAGTGCCCCCCCTACTTTCAGAGTTCCAGAATCGCCACTGATGGTGAGATTTTAATTTTATTATTGATTCAATGCAAACCTGGTATACATATAAGAAATAAACCCTATTTCCAACATAATTACATATATACATAATATATTAAAACACACCCAAACTTCATTTTCTACCCAATAACAGACAATATTTACAAACATGCCAAAAAGATTCCACAACATATACTGTTTAAATCAAAGTGTCTATTGGTTAAAAATTAACATCACCATATGAAATATTTGACCAATAAGAGAAAACTAAAACCCTATTTTTCTTGGGCCTACTTTTGGGAAAAGTTTCTTATAAAAACCTACAGATTTTGACTTTCAAGAGCAGAGATGCAACTGACCCCAAGCCATTCAAACACAAGCAAATACATGGCTACATAGCCTTTTCCTTCCCCCCAGTATGTGCTGAAAGAAACATGTTGGCAACCAAATGAATCATTTCCAACAACAACAGCAGACGGGGTTAGTGAATCTTTGCTAACGATCATATGTTGGCAAATTCAAATGAATCATCTCCAACACAGCAGAGACAATCAGTGAATCTTTGCTAACAAAGTCTTTTCTCAGCCACAGATTTTTTTCTGTGAACCAACTACTAAAGGTCTTTTCTATACTACAGATTTTTCTGTGAACCAACTACCAAAGACATTAACTCATCTAAAGACTGTTGTCAAGTTACCTCCTAATTTTCAAAACTGCTCCTAGGAGACACTCTCAGGACTATAAATACGCTGTGATAATTTTTTATCACACTTTTCTCATCTTATCTACTTATTTGTCAACATGTAAATCTCTTGCGATGAACGTATTCCCTTTTGGGGAAACACATGAACAATACATACACACATATATACATATGCACATTCACTCACTACACATACTTTGGACCAAAATGGTTTCCACAAATTATTTGTTACACACATTATTGTCTTGTCACTGTTAATACATTATCATTTGTTTGTATATATTGGCTCTTGTCATTTCTTTCATTTATTTATGTGGACTCACATCCCAAGTCTGCCATGTTTGTTGTGGGTATCACTCAATGCATACACCAGTCCACAGCACTATTTTTATTTTTTTTATTCTATTTTTATTCCTTTTTGACTCTTTTGAATTCATGTACATATGTTTGTAAAAATGATTTTTTTTATCAGGCATATGCTTTGTTTTTTTATTTTATTATTGTTTAGAGTTCTGACAATATAAAACAACCTGGATGATTGAATTTCCTATGTACACAAAAAGCAACTGTTTGACTGTTCTTATTGTTACCAACAAACTTTACAACTGCTTGAACACTTCTTTACTTTGTTTTTGTAATTTTATTTTTGCAGAAAAAAACATCTTTTTTCATGTGGATTGGTTGAAATTAATGAGTACACACTGAATCATACAATATTTTACCTAAAATTTGTAATTTTAGCATTGATTGAAAGTTTAATCATTCAATGTCAATGTTACACTGAAAAATATCAGGACAAAAATAAAGGATTATCACTGGTCTGAAAATAGAGCCGGCATTATTATTATTATTATTATCATTATTATTAATAGAGACGAGGTCTGCTGTTGTTGCTTTTCCTCCCTATATCCAACAACAAAAATAATAATTATTTATTTATTTATTGAGTTAGGGAGTGAATGTTGTAGAATGATCTTGTTAAGCGTTCAAAATTGCATTGTAAATGCTATTTTCCTTAAACGTTTGGGTTACCAATCTAAATGGTGTTTTGTTGAAAGGATTAATGTGGCTGCGTGTTGAAGAGCATTTAACATTTATACATTTTTTTAAATCAAGGAAAAACAATGGAAAACCGATTTGTGTTTCAATTATAAAATCATACTTATTATAAAACCCAGGTTGTGTGTGTGTGTGCGTCTGTACGTTTATATATTGGATCGGATTTCCTACATTTTTCAACCGATTTCAAACAAAATTTCACAGGACTTATAAAATTACCCGGTGGTTCTGATAGTGCCAAAATTGGAAAAACAATTGTTTTGTACAAAATCAATTTGAAAACACGATTAAGAGGCATCGTAAGAATGAAAGGGGACAACTCATATCGAGTTATACTTATTATAAAACCTAGGTTGTGTGTGTGTGTGTGTGTGTGTGTGTGTGTGTTGTTCGTTTATATATGGGATCAGATTTCCTACATTTTTACAAAACTTTTTTTTTTTCAACACAATTTTTTACATTCAGAATGGATTAATAAAATTCTATTCAATTAGAGACTCATAACAATTGAAAAACAATGTTTTGTTTGGGTTTCAATTGATTAAGTGTCAACCTTAAACAATAAAAATTTTTCAGTCTTTATGAAAATCTAATTGTTTTAGTATATATTAAAATCAACAAATACAAATTTTTTAATGTGTGAATAAGGAGAAAAAGTAGTTTCCTTTATCTGTTAGTTGAATATGGTGATATTTAAATAAGCAAGTTTTCTGAAAAATGTTCAAAGTTCTGTATTGGGTGGAACATACAGTAAGTTCAATTGTATATTTTGTATAATCAGAGTTATAATAAATTACTTGAATGATAAACCTAGAATGAATAATCTGTGTAGACGTGTGTGAGTAGTTGAGTTGTTCGTGTTTTACTGTTTATTTATGGGATCATGAACGCGGGATAAATTTTGAAAGAACACGAAAAATATCTGATTGGATGAAAAAAATTAACCAATTGGTGATTTTATAACAAAAGCCTGTTTGTGAGTTAAAACGGTAGGAAAAATTCAGTGTGGTGAATACGATCAGTAAATTGTCCTGTGATATTTAGTATTTATTATTTGACCAATCACAGCTGAGAAAAATGTAGGCGTGGCAAACATAGTAGTAATCACTACAGCATGAAGGCATCTGGTCAGTTAACCCACTTTCCAATGACTTTTTTTTAAAACTGTTACTGCAGAGGGTCATGATCGTGGCTGAATGAAAAATACTGCCTACCAAGGAGGCTTTTGTTGGCATAGCCGCAGTGTAACAGTAAATTATCTGCTAACCGAAATGTTATTCATAATTTCGGGAGAAAAAAAAAATTCAAAACTATATTGCTTCCGATGAAATAAACCTCCAGCTGATTTTTTAAATTTTATTTTCTATTACTTAAAAAAAAAAAAAGAGAATTGATATCTCTTTTAAGAATTTTTAAAAGTTATTTGTTGTAATTGACCGAGTGCCCTCAAAACAATCGTGATTATTTGACACGCTTGATTACGCGATCGCCTTTAAGGGAATGAGGACTTTATCCCCAAAACACAGATCATAGTTTTCATAAATCTATTTTTATCCATAATGAATGACTAAAAACAGGCCGATACACATCTTACCGGTTCGGTTTGTCCAGTGGAAGGAAAATAGGCTGATTTTTGCTGTGTAAACAAATTAAAAAGGTGAATTTTAAGCTGAAAATATGAAAAATAAAACTAAAAGTAACCAACTAAAAATATCAAGTTACATGAAAAAAAAACAAACTTATAAACTGGATAGAAAAAGGAATAATTTTAAAAAAAGGCCAATTCAGTTTCTGTACGGTTCTGTTTTCAACTTTTTATTTTAATCGTTAATAATAATAATTATTATTATTATTAAAGAATCAATAATTTTACTTTAACTAATTGTACATGGACCAAAAAATAAAATAAACAAGAAGATTAAATTAAAATTCGTAATCCGTGAATCACAAATCATTTAAAAAATGCATTAGAAAAAAAAGCACCAAAAAAGGAAAACTTTTTTTTGCTTTTTGTTTTTTGGAGTGTTTATATTTTAAAAAGTAAATTAAAGAACTTCACTTTGGGAAAATGTACAGTTGATTTATTTTATATAGTAATAATGTACACTTTGAAAAAGTCACTTAATGCCCCTCCCACACGGTGCACACAGTGAGGATCTCATTCATTCGATTTTTTTCGGATGTTTTAATTTGTTTTTTTATCTCTACAAGATAATGTTGTTAAAAATATTAAATCAATGAGACACTATTGTTTAAAAAGATGAAAATTTTGAAATTAAAAATAAAGAACAACTTTTCTAGTAATCAATGTGATGAGTAATAAACACTGAAATTATTGCTTAAAGGACTGAAGAAAAAAAAAGTATATTCTTTTTTAGAATAACCAAGAAAAGAACAAAAAGTGATTGATAAGTAAAAAGTTAAAGTCGTTTTTTTTTTTTTTTAGTATTTCAAACAATTTCTACATCTGGTTTGGTGCATAATAATTCCAACCTTTTAATATTTTATTTTACACTAGTTTTAGTTACACTTATTTTTGTTTTTTAAATTCTGAGACATTGATTTACATTGGATTTAAATTTTATATTTTACACACGGAAAAGAATAACTGAAAGAAATTTTATTATTGTATCTTTCAAATACACTTTCGTTTTTTTTTTTTTTGAATGCATAACTTTTTTTTTATTAGTGAACAAAGGGTTCATCATAGTTTCCTTCACAGCTGAAGAAGTTTGGTGAGGTCCTTTTTTTTTTTTTTTTTTTTTTGGTAACTGAGTGAAAAATAAATAATCGTATCAAACATAAACTAACTATACCCGAAAAATATGTTAGATTAAAAAAAAAGTTATTATTCTTGGTTTAAAAATTATTTAACCAAGTTTTAATCGGACGATACCCCGCCCAAAAAAAAAGAAAAAAGAAAGAAAAATCGCAACAATTATAATTAGAATAACAAGCTGATAACACTCCTATTTGCATATTCTTTACAATATTCACTCTTTAGTTATTTTTCTTTCAGATTGATCATGACTTGTAAACCATGTCGAGATTTCTATCGGAAAGACTGGGATAAGGTAAGATTTATTAGTCATACTCATACACATTGACTAAGTCATCGTTATTATTTGCTTTATGTAGTAGTGGATTTACATGAAAGCCAGGAAAGAACCTTCGATAATCTTCACATTTTTTAGAACGAAAAATATGGTGTGAGTGATGTTTAATTAATTGCATAAGTTAAAAAGTCACAGAATGGAACAGTTTTTTTTCTGTTCCATTCTGTGAATTAAACTTTAATTCTGAATAATTGACAATCAAGCGAATTATTTTTTGTGCTAAACTACTAAAAAAAAAGCAATCATAAATATAAAATAGGGAAAATAAAAACCGATAAATGAAGAGTTGCAAGGCAAGGACCTATCGTTGTTTATTACAAAAATTATGCAGCCGACGTAGTGAGGTCACCTGTTTTTTTACGCAGAGTTGGATGAACCAAAATTCATCGGAACGATTGAAAGTACTAAGATTTCTTCATTAAGTAAAAAATTGGACTTTTTTTTTTATAGCACTGAATATAAAATTCAAATAATTCCATTTATCTACGTGAATTTAAATAAAGTTTTCTAAAATTCTACTTTTCACATTTACTGCGTATAATTCAATCATTACTGCACTACATTGGTGGGTGTGAAAATAAAAATAATCAGCCCAACCAAAAAGAAAGGATTAAAAATAAAATATAGAAAAAACAGTTTTTGTTTTTGGCTATTTGTTTTCCTTGTAACTAAATGTAACATTAACATATCTGTGATTAAAAATCATCAATTCTTTAAAGTTTAACTTAGTCCGTCCGTCACACTGTTAGTGTTAAGTTATGCGTGTATCAAGAATAAGGTAAAGACAGATTATAATCCGTGGTGTGCTTGTTTACTACGCCATTACCGTCCATCCGGGTCACCCCCAGGGCTTGAACTCCCTTCCTATTTGTGTTAGGGGGTTAACTTCTGTTACATTTGTTATGAATAATCAAGAGTGGTCTCCCCTTGGTTTGTTACTCTCCTCTTTGAGAGAGCTATTTCTGTTTACTGGGACTATAAAAGGACACTATACACGAACCTTGTATTCTCAGATGAATAAAGCTTTCTTAAAGCCTACACCTGCATACTTTTTTCATTACAATACTCAACATCTTCTCCCACTTATATATATAGATAGATAGAGAGTGAGAGATTTATGTTGTTCATCATAGAGGAAAGAAGAGAAGAAGAAAAAAAAACGATTATAAAACTCTGGTGTGTTTCCACTCTGGGCAACAGAACCCTTGCTTATTCACTTCTATATCATGCTGGCCTGCAAATTTCTCTTCTTGAACATGTCCATACTCCTGAAACTTGTTTGGTGGCTTTAGCCTCTTCCCATTCTCTTGAGTTTTGTTTGAGTGGCTGGACTCGGACTGTATCACCTATCTGTCAGTTTTTAAATTCATTGCTCAAGCACTGGTATCTTAGCTTTCTCTTTTCTTTGTTGTTTGCCTCATAAGCAGAGTAGGGGTAGAGTGGTTGTAGCTTGCTTTCTGTTGCTGGGAAAAATGCCTTAGTCTTTGTGTTGGAATTGTGGTAAATTCTGCAAGTTCTGTTGGTAAATTCTGCAAGTTCAGTAGTCCTATGAAGGGATCCTCTGCTGGAGCTCTACACTTATGCCATAACCGCTTCATGACTTTGACTGCTGCCTCTGCTACTCCATTAGCTTGTCTGTTACCTGGCGATATGGTTTCATTTTGAAACATCCATAACTGTACCAACTTCTTGAAATGGTAGGATGTGAACTGGGTCCTGTTGTCAAAGACCACCACATCAGGTAGGCCATTGTATGCAAAATGGCTCTTAAGGCACTCGATCAATGCATCTGATGTTAGTGCAACTAGATGATCACCTTCAATTAAGTTACTGTGAATGTCCACAGTGATTAAATATTTCTTTCCACCCCACATCATGAAGTCAGTTGCCACTTTTTGCCAGGGTCTTTCTGGAATGACAGCGACTACCTGGGCTTCTGGGGTTCTGCTGACTGGTGATCTGAGAATGTTGCGCACGTAGCACTAGCCGCCACACACTGTCTAATCTCAGCTGACATACCCAGCCAAAATATAAGGTCTCTTGTCTCCACAGACATGTATTGATGCCGAAGTGGCCAGCATTAGCCTTTGTCTTCATTTCTTGATGCATGGCACGAGGGTTTACAACCTTTTGTCCACACAGGATTAACCCATCCCGTACTGTCAACTAATCCTGATAGTCAAAAAATGGTTTGATGTTGTCAGGCAGGTATCTCCTCTCATTTCCTCTTGGTAATAATTGTGGCTAGCACCACCATTGTTGCATCCTCAGCTGTTTATCTGAAGATCTGTGCCAACCTATGATCTGAATTTCTAAGATTGTCCACTATCAACAATTCTTCTTTTATTGGGTTGCCTGTTGGTGCAAGAGAAATGGCATCTACCAATGGACTTTCCTTACCTGGTCTGCACTGTAGCAAGAAGTTATCAGCAGATTTTGCAGCCTTTTAGGTGCTTTTGATAGTGGCCTTGCACAGATTAACACTAGAGGTTTATGGTCTGTCAAATCCTTGACATGTCTTCAATATGTGTAGTGGTAAAATTTCTTCAGTCTTTAGACCATTGCCATCATTTCTTTTTCTATTTGTGCATAACCTTGTTTTGTGTCCAACAGTGAATGACTTGCATATGCAACAGGTCTCTCTTTTTGCTTCAGGGTTGCTCCCCTGCCATATCCACTGGCATCATTTTCCAGTGTCAAATCTTCATGTTGATTATAGTAGGCAAGTATTGGTGCACTACTGAGTCAAATGTGGCTTGTTGTGATTCGGACAACATTCATGTGGCTTGATTTTTTGTGAGGTCCTGAAAAGGCTTAATGATGGAGGTTAAGTTGGGGATAAATTTGTTCACATAATTAACCATCCCCAGGAATCTGCACAATTCCCCTATATCTTGTGGAACATCCATGTTCTGGACTGCACTAACTTCCTCTCGGTCTATCTCAATGCCTTTGCTTGTGATCCTGTGTTCCATGAAGTAATGGCATGCAGTCCCTTCTCAAATTTTGCAGGGCTGAGTTTGATTCCCATTGTCTGACATCTTTCAAACAGTTTCCGTATCTGCTTATCATGCTCTTCTTGATTAGTACCGAATACCACCAGGTCATCAACAATGATAGGCATGCCTTCCTAAGTCCTGAAAGTGTTCAAGCATTTTCCTATGAAAAGTTTCAGAGGCAATCTTAACCAATGGAAATGACCAAAACATGTCTGGAAAGTGGTTAGGTCACTGGACTCATCATCAAGCTTTATAGGATAGGTCAGCCTTAGTAAAAATTCTGGCATATTTTATGTCATGCAGTACATCCTCCAAGATAGGCATAGTGTAGTGTTCCTGGATGAAAGCTTTATTGAGCTCATGAGTGTCCAATTTGGTTAATCTCTTCAATTCTGCCTTTAATTGATGTCGGACCAAAACAGGCACTCTTCCATTTGCCATCACAGCTGGGATGGCATCATGCTTCAACTGCAATGATGCAACTCTGAGTAACTTGTCACTAAACACATCCTTGAATTCTTCTTCCACTGCTACAGATGCAATGCAGTGAAAGTTCTCATCTTTTATAGCAACAAAACCCATCTGCTCACATACTCAAAGACCCAATTTCTTGTCTTTGAAGATCAGGAATTCTAACAAGTACTTTTTGTTCTTTGGGTTTTTGATAACCTGTCGACACATGCCTAGTAGTTTCACTAAGGACTTGTTCCACATTGTTAGGACTCCTTAGTATGGCCTGATGTGTTTCATATATCTTTCGGAGAGCATATTAACAGATACTCCTGTGTCAATCTAGAATACCACTGCTTCATGCACTTTGCATCTTTGTTGTTCTTTTTTGAAGAGAGAACATTTACCATACTGTACATGTTCATCACTGTCCTCATCTGAAACGGTGTCCATGTAGTGTACACAAGGCTGTTGTAAATCTTTCTTGTCTCCTTTTCATTTTGCCTCATTGCTTTTATTCTGGTTGTCTTCCATTCTAGGTTAGGGCATCTGGATTGAAAGTGATTTTTTTCCATTGCATGCTTTGCAAGTTTTCCATATTCAGGACATTTGTTCCATTTGTAGTGTGGTAGAAACCACAAAAATAACATCCCTGGTGTGAAGCATACTTCTTTTCTTCAGCTACCTTCATATCATGAATATGGGATGATTCAGTCCTCATCCTTAGGTTCTATGCAGCAGCTTTCTCAACTGCTCTGCAAATGTCTATTAAGTTTAAGGCCTTGAATTTTCAGTCATTCTTGTCTTGTAACATGGTCCCTTATACCAGTAACAATTTGGCCCTTATCATGGAGTTTTGGCACTTGTTACAAAAAAATGCATGTTTTCAATAGAACTTGCAAATTACTGAGAAAATTGTCAAAGGACTCACAATCTTGTTACCATTGTCGGAACACAAAACATTCATAGGTTTCATTGGTAGCACCAATCATATATTCCTCCAAGGCACCTACAATTTCTGTGACAGTCTGTTCAGATTCATCTGTTGTGAAATGTATACCTTAATATATTTTCATGATGTTGTCACCAAGGCAATTTTCAAACATAGCCACTTGAATATCCCTTTGCTTTTCACATAGTCCAGACAAGAGAGTATAATTCGTCCATCATTTATGAAATAGTTTCCATGCTTCAGCTTTGTTAGGGCCAAAAATCAGGTGTTCAGGTGCTGTTACATGTAAAAATATAGCACCAACCACAGTGTCATGGTTGCCTGGTTCATTGTTAGGCATTATGAGAGACTACACATCAAATTTGCTTGCAAATATACATGCACACATGGAGAGATGAGACCACTATTTCACAAGAGAGAACATTTAACGATAACAGATGTAATCCTTTTTAGTTCAGACTTTCTGGCAGAAATAATGTTCCCAGACACTAAAGGCAAGGCCCAACAGCCAGCTACCACCATGTTAAGTTATGTTAAGAATAAGATGAAGACAGATTATAATCCAATTGTTTGTTTATTTACTACTCCATTACCATCCATCCAGATCATCGTTCACAAGGGCTTGAACTTCCTTCCTATTTGTGTAAGATGGTTAATTTCCATTACACTCAACACTCACCCTCTAAAAGCTATACATTGACCAACTGAAATCAAATTTTGGGGAGAAGTACAAATGAAGTACAGTGTGGTCTGAAAGTCATGTCACCCTCTACCAAAAAGTAATGAGAACTATAGAAGAACAAGTAATCCAGTATGTGACACTATTTAGCTATGGTAAATGATTAAGTAATTAACCTTAAAAATTAAACAAGAAAATACTGAGAACGGAAAAGAAAATACCCCAATATTTTATTTTTACTTTAATAAAAAAACTTACTTTTCTAAAGAACCCAAGAATTTGCATAAACAGTGGACTCACAAAAAAGCCATATGTGAGCTTTTGACAATTGAATAATGATGTTTGTAAAAGTACTAGTTAAAGAAAGCCTGAGAACAAGATATCATTTAAAATTACAAGATTTTAGAAGTCGACCAGGCAATGAAACCATGTGTTGATTGTAAGAATTTTTGGCATGAGAAGATGTTCCGAGATGCGCATTCAATATGGAAAGATTTTATTTTTTTTTTTACTTTCCCAAGAAACTGAGGATTGGCATAAACAATAAATTCACAAAAATCCATGTGGCGAGCTTTTGACAATTGATTTATGATAACTGTAAAGAAAACACGAGATAGCCAAAGAGCATTTGAGATATCATTTGAAATCGTCAGATTTTAGAAGTTGGCCAAGCCATGGGGGCCATATGTTGTAAGTCAAAAAAAGGGAATTTCATAAACAACATTGATAATTTGGGAATTCAGAAATCCTGAAATAAACAGGGATGTCAGAGGGTTAATTAATGAAGCAAGCTTAGCCACACCCACATGGCTGAGATGCCATTGGTCGAGTGGTAGCAATGGTGATAGGCAGAGCTAAATTGGTAAGAAAGACGAAGAAATTACTAACACCCACCAAAAGAACTTGGTATGAGGTACCAATGTGAGAAGGAGGGAGTTTAGGAGGATAGCTATCCTGCAACCTGTCCTCACGGACAAAGGGATCCCCCCCAAAATGGAAAGTAATTAATTTTCGAAAATGGGAAGTAATCAATTTTTCTAGCCAGACAACAAAGAGATCCCTTGTCAGAAATTGGGAATTACCAAGAACCCCAGGCTGCGTCTAGCCCCACACCAGTTTTTGGTCAATGTCCATATAAATGAGTGCCCTCAGCTTACAATTCAGTTCCTGTCCAGTTACAGTTCCAGTAAGTTCAAGTTGCCTTGCAGAAGCTTACTGAGAGATTCCACGACTTCCTATCTTCGACTTTGCCTTCCTACAAAACAGCAAGTTATACTGACAAATGAAGCTAAGCCAGCACCTAAAAACTAAACTAGTTGACTTAGAAAACCAGAACTTGCCAGAAGTATAAAGTGTCACTCTCCAAGAATGGGTTGGGAAAAGCACATACTCCTTTAGAGAACAGACTGATAAAAATTGATTTGCTTTCTTTCAACAAAACTGAATCTTTTTGTTTTTTTTATTTATTTCTTTTTTTTTTACACTTGTGCAATGTCACCTCCAGTTTAGACTCATCTTACACTATGGCCCTGATGCCTGATTGATCTCGTCTACCTAAGATCAAATCACAATGTGGGTAGGTTAGACTTGAGATTGAAGTAGTTACTTAGGTAACCAGCCATTGGAAGTGAGCTGAGAATGATGGAGATGGTTTTGGACCGGTTACATCTGGTATGAATCTGTTAGAATCAACAAACCATCCCATTTAGTACCTTGATCAAAGGATCCCAACATGTAGCGATGACCGCCAATTGACCGGGTCACATATTGGTGGCAGCAACTAAGAGTCAACCCCAAAATGCTGGTAGGAGAAGTATCACAGCTTCATGCCACAACTAGGAGTTGACCCTGGGCTGATGGTATTGTGTCATACAAAGCACATGTACTGGATTCAGTTTATTCACTTTTATTGACACTATCACACATTGAGAAGGTTTGTATGAATACCATCATTTTTGTGGCACAAAATGATAAGCTGCGATGTCCTGTGTGATATTTTATAAAGCTGTGCTTTGTTGATTGTTGCAAAGGCTCTCCAAACAGTGTTCTTTAACTAATGGGTTTTCTTGTATCGTTCATATGAAAAACTCTCCTTGATAATACTCCACAGATAATTGAAATAGAAAATTATATTATGTAGGGGTGACAAGACTTTCGGACCACCCTCTACAATTGGTTTTACTAGGGTGCATAGCTTAGTACAATAAATTTTCATTCATTTTTCCCAAAAAATTAATGAAAATCTTTAAAAACAATTCATTTACAAAATTGATAAAACGTAGAGTTTGTAAATCGCAACAAAAATTGTTAGCAATAACTTCTACAATACTAAATACTGTGAAAAATTCAACACGTGTCAGTGTTTCAAAAACTTCTAGTAATGAAAAAGTGTGGAAAAATGCAATATTAGTCCAGTTGCACACTCAGCTGCCATTCATTTAATTAATCATTATACTTTTTCAGTTTGGTCTCTTATTTCATATTGAAGTTACCACAGACAGAATGGATTTCATTTATTTTGTTTTTTATGTATTTTTTCATGTCAAAAAACCAAAGCTGGGATGATATACTAACTTTTATCAATAGATGAGTTTTATTTGAGGCAACTACTATTTAGATAACAAGTAAAATAAGAAGTGAATATTAAATGGAGAACTTATCATATTTGGATGGGAGCTGCCCAGTCCTCACTCTCTAGTTTCGATAGAGTCCAAAAGCATCTCTGAGTCCTTGTGGGTGACAAATTATTTTCCACCCTTTTCAACCTCTCTCTCTCACAGGCAGGACGTGGTTAGTTCTAACTTTACGACTAGGTCCCACCATACCACTCACATTTGAGCAAACACCCTCCTTCCCTCCATGTTCCATTGGTGAGAAGTAAGTTCCACTCAAACAGCTTCTTCCTGTGAATCACTGCCCTGTGGAGCTGACTCCCAATCACTACAATCTTAACCTATTCAACTCTAGGGTTAACTGTTATCTTCCTCTCCTATTCATATAAACATATATATATATATGTGTGTGTGTGTGTGTGTATGATGTAATGGAATAACCTGTCACCCCCATGAGTGACTACACTATAGGTAGTAACTACTTATAAGTATCTGTAAGGCAATGGACTACAGGGACTAGCTGGGATCTGTTGAGTACGATTCAGATATATGCAAGAACTACCAACCTTCCAATAGTAGCACTCATTACTGGATTGACTTGTTGTGCATAACTGTTACTTTTATTCTTATTGTACTGGTTTTTAACAATAAACCTTTACTTATTTTATCCACCTTGTTTTTCAAGTATATATTCCTATTAGCACAGAATATAACAATATATTTCTCTTAGAATTAGAATTAAGATACCATTAGTTAATGACCATTTTCACCTACAAATTTTAAATTTAAAATTCGCAGGATTTTTTAAATTGTTTATGGTGTCAGTTTGTAGAAGGAGACTTTGTAGGTGAAAATGGTCATTAACTGATATCTTAATTCCAGTTGTAAGAAAAATTTTGCTCTATTTAATGAAAATAAATATTGAGTGCTCCTTGTGAGTCAGTTTTAATATTTAATATTTCAAATTCTGTATTGTGTTCATAGGACTCACTTGGATTATGCCAATGGATTCTTTGGATTATACCAATGGATTGCTACCTGTAATTATTGTATCTATTATGATTTTTTTAAAATCTGTCTTTAAGAATCCATTGTTTAGTTTCATATCTATATATGAAAAGAAGTAAATTAGATTACATCTATTATTCTCTATTCCTTTTTTTATATATTTTTTTCTTCAGAGAGCTTTCACTGTGGGATTTTTTGGACCTCCAGGTTCAGGGAAGACATCTATTATTCATGATGTGTGTAAAGTTTTGAATGAGAAACATAATATATGTGTTGTAACCAATGATGCCTATACACAGTAAGTTATCATTAGTTTTTTTATGTAGCATTCAAATATTTTTAATTCAGAGTTTCAAATTATTTTTTCTTTAAATGAAAATCATGCTTTTTTTAAATTAATCTCTTAAGTAACAAGAATTTGTTTATGGTGTACAGGAAGTCAAAGAGCTCCAACAAGCAATTGAAAAGTATACATTTAACCTCTTTAGTCTGAAAGATGTTTTTGTTTCTCTTGACACCACTGTTACCATATACCTCCATGGAAAGTGTTCTGATGAACTACATTCCTTAGTTCCACTAGTTCTAACCTTAATGACTAAGACCATGCCATGTACATTGTAGCAAACCACCCTCATTCCCTTTATATTCCATTGGTGAGATGTAAGTTCCATTGAAGCAGTAAAGTTCCCACAAAATGTTGAATTCAATCCTATATATATTTTTCAACCAATAAAATCCCACCAGAAGGATTGTTTGATAAACAAACATTACAAAGGAAAATACCACCAAAATTTAAAATATCAAAGCATATAACTTTGTAGTTTTTAAATCATTTTGTTAACTAACCCTTAATTAATTTATGAAAGACTTTACCTCTAAAAATCTGGATCACCAGAACCTAATCTCTCCTGGTGGCTCAATGGCGGGGGAAGGACTGGCTTGTAACATTCAATATGCCCAAAATCAAACTAGTAATATTCCATCACTGAGCAGACACTAAACTTTCATCTGTCATGATGGATGGGTGTTCTTCTCAAAAAGGCTTCTTGCCTTGAACAACTATTGGGACTCAAGCTCACTCCAGACCTCAAGTAGAACTCATTATAATCCATTGCTATAGATGTTGGAAATATGATCAGGTCATTGTACTGATCCAATAAGTATCTGACTCCCCCTGCTATATTTTTTCTTTACATGAGTCAGATCAAACCGAAAATAAAGTATTGCTGCCATATCTGGGCTGGAGCTTCTCAGTCCTCACTTGCCTGTCTTGATAGAATTCAAAACTGTTTACACGACCTTGTAGGTGATGAATTATTTTCTATCTTACTGCCCCTTTCCCACATATGAAACTTTGTAAGCTTCTTACTACTCTAAAAGTGTGTAATGTAATTGATCCTGACCTGGTATTTTAACTTACTTTCCCATCACTGTAACATGGCTTCCTTCTGTTTTTTCTCCAAATATTTTCATGGCAATGAATATGCTACATACACAAGGATGAATCAACAACATTCCCTTTGTATTCCAATAGTAAGAAGTAATTTCCATTCAGACAGCTTCTTCCCATAGACTCCTGGCAAGATGTTTTCCCAATCACTACAATATTGACTTCTTCAAGTCTAGAGTTAACAATTATCTTTCTGTTGTAGGGAAGGAATGGCTAACACTCAGTATACAAAGAAATGATACACTTCTATTAAATGGACTGTTTCTGTATAAATATAACCATCTATGGTGTTTGTTTCAGGGAATCTTGTTTTCCAGCTTCAGACAAACTTGTAAATATCTACTTACATTGTTCTTGTTTAAAATAAACCCTTATAATTTATAAGTTACTGTTCTAGTTATTATTTCAATAACCACCTCGGACAGCATTACAAAACTTTCTTATATAACATCATGAACTGTACTTTTTACCTTTTTTTACCACACAGTAACCCTCTATCTTGAGTGGCTCTTGAACCTTGTATGGGTGAACATTAGTAAAAAAAAATTTTTTTGCTGAGTTCCTTTTCTGTCCTACATCTGGGTGACAGATATTCCAGTATGGCTAGCTTTATTTTTTGGTTGTTTCCTCGTCTGTTCTTCATGTTTGGTGAGAAGTGTATTTGCTGCCCATGTTTGCTGGAAGATTTTAATTCCATGTCTTGACTTCAGAAAGGCTAGTGGTTAAAGAGGATGATAGGGCTTGTGAATTTGGCAAGAAAAGCTGAATTGTCATGAATCTAGAAGTACAATGATTGGTCTATACTAGCCAATCAACATCTCTCTTCCTTGATTGTGAAGGCATGCACCTGACTCTTACCAGTTGTATTTTATTTGGTCATCTCCTTTCCATCCAAGTCTATTTCTTTTTGTTGTTTTTAATAAATTGATTTTATTTGGGTTATCTCTTCATATTTTTAGCCAATGTGTAAACAGATGTTTTCCTTTAAATATCACTGATTTTAGTCAGTCAACCAGTTAAAGATTTTCTCTGAGAGCTCATCAGTCTGTTTTTACTTAGAAAATAGACTCCACAGCTCTTCAAAAAGTAATTTTTCACTTTACTTCTGTGCATATATTCACTAAGAAAATGTTCATCTTGAATAACAAAAACAGCCATTCAACCTTTCTAAACTATCCAACATAAGATTATACATGATTTGTGACCAAATATTCTTTGCATTCATCACAGGCATTTTGTAATATTTTGTACTTTAGTGATTATTTGCATACAGTAAACTAAATAGAAAGAATACAAAAGGGATGAATGAATGTGTGTGTATAGATGTTCTTCTTTTGTATGTACATAAAAGTGAAATCAATCTTCTACATGGTTCAGCTCCTATAGCTCACAGGAATCACTTCTTCCATCTATACCAGAGCAACAGGTTTGGTTGTAACAGATTTCTCTTTGTCACTGCTTGTAATGAATGTAAACATATCTTCAAAGATGCAAAATCACTATTCACTGATAGAATGAGACACCATATAGCCTGGTTCTAGAGACTATTGGTGGATCTGCAAGAGTGAACTGGACAAGAGTTAATGCTCAGTCACTCCTCTCTTCAATCAGTTTGAAGTGTTGTAATCTACTGCAATACTGCATCTTCTTGGATGCACACTTTCCACTGACACTGAGTGATTATATTGAATCAATTTCTAGGTCTACTGCTAGAAAAGTTGCTTTACTGTCGTGCCAGATAATTCTTTTCATCAGAATCCCACTTGCACATTTATAAGTCTTCCATTCATTTGTGCATTGAATATTGCATATTGAATATTTGGTATGGTGATCCTCCTACTTATCTCAAGATTCTTCAAAATTCAAGAAAGGACCTGTAATGTAATTGATCCTGACCTGGCATCTTGACTTCAGCCAAATTCTCACCAATATGATATGGCTTTCCTCTGACTTTTCTACAAATATTTTCATGGTAATTATTCTGATGAGATGTTCTCCTTAGTGCATCTGTATAAATTTAAGTGTGCTTCCAGATTGGCAACTGTGTCTCGCCATTTTACTGCTGAACTAGCTAGATGCAATCATCAATTCTATTCTAATAGTTTCTTTTCTCACACATGTCACCTGTGAAACTCCTTTTTGATTTCTTGCTTCCGTCACCTACAATCTTCAAAAATTTAAATGCAATGTCACAATCATCTGGTTTCTTGAAACCTGTTCCTTTACTGTCCTTTTCTTCACTAAAATCTTCTCATTGTATTTTATGCCCTGTAAACACCTGACATCATAGTAGCATTGTTGCCTTGCTTGGGTTGAAACAATTGAAAAAAAAAAGGCTCTCTGACGTCATGTAAGCCTAGGTATGCTGTGTACTTTCTTTGTCGTGCTCAGTAAGACATTAGATTTGCTGGGGATTAAGATGATCCTCAGTGAAGAAATGAGGCATCTAATCTCTAAAGCATCCTGTGACTTAAAAAAGAAAAAGGAGAGAAAGAAACTTTGCGTCATTTTCTTATATATTGCTTTTAGCAACATTATTTAATAGCAGAATTTTTTTGGCAGGCAAGTAGGGTAATCTCAGTACATATACATATAAAATTTTCTTTTTAAAAATGTGTTAAATGAGTGGATGCTGAAAATTGCCCAGCCTAACCCACCTCCTAAAACCAAATGAGCAAATATCAGAAAATTTTATTAAAATTCCTTGGTTGGGCCAAGAACTTTTCAGCATCCTTTTATACTATTCATTCAGCAAGTTGTATTCATTACTGTACTATACTTTGTTCCAAATGCATTTATGACTACCCTACTCACTTCAAAGCAAGTAGAGGAAAACAATGCTATGACTAACAGTGTTTTCATGCTCCTATGAATCAGTTTCAATTGGAATCCATTTCACAAGGGAAATTCCATTTATATAAAAATGTCATGAGTAGATTAAAAGAAAACTTTTCCTTGGAAAACAATTTTTTACAAAAAATTGTAGTGATATTTGTGAATGATCAAATCTGGAATCAAAAGTAAATATAAATTCCTTTGAAATTAGCAGTATTTGAATGTCTTGAAAATACAATACAGTAATTATAATTTGGATGTGCAGCAGATATCAGTACAGAAAATGAAAGTGGGGAGCTGAGTTCAAATCTGACCAAATATCAGAATGTTTTCATAGGTTCATTCTCTACAGCTTATCAACACTTTACAATTTATTTAGAGCCAGAAAATACTTTTATATTGAAAGAATTTTTTTGTGATAATAATGATTTAGTGATGTCTTACTAATTAACCCATACCTAGGGAGGGGTAACTGCATTAAGTGAATATAACGAACCCAAGGAGATTGGAACTCAGCCCTCTGATTAACAATTCCAAACCATTATCCATTACATCACCCACATATCCAAGCTTATTGCACCTAGTATTCCCAAGCAGTCACCCATCTAGGTATTAACCAGGCTTAATATTGCTTAACTTCAGTGATCGTATGGGAACTGGTGTTTCAATGTGATATGGTCGTAAGCCTCAGAATGTTTTGGAATCCCTCTTTGGTTGACCCATGAACTTTGCAGCAGTCCCTCGTTGACTGCAGCAGAAATTCATATCATTCACAGCTGAGCTGCAATAATGGAAATCTGAAGTTAATGCTAATAATTTTTTGAAATTTACTTTTATCAACAATTATTTCATTTTGGTGAAGATCTTAGACTTTCCTCTATCAGATCTGGGGGAGTAATGGATTTTACTCTGCCATACTAACCCATGATGTGTTGGGAGCAGAGCAGGATTCAGTTGTCATCCTTTTAAACTTTGTTGCCTTACCAAAGCTGAACAGCCCAGTATGCCCTGCTATTTTACCCAAAGATGATAAGAAGATATGGATTCATCTTTTCTAAAGTGATCAATGCAAAGTGAATGCATCAGCCTCTGGTAGAATTTGAACTAAGCTTACTGATTCCATTTTCTATGCCAATTGAATAACAAAAATTATTTATGCAAAAGTTAGATTGAAAAGGTTAAACAAGTCAAATTACCTAAACTGTTCATTATAATCGTTAGACCTTTTTCTTTCAGTTTTTAATTTTGCCTTTTAGTTTATATTTTTTTTATATTTCAGAGAGGATGCTGATTACTTGGTTACAAAAGGTGCCTTACCAAAAGAAAAAGTGCGTTCAGTCATAGTTGAAGGCTGTCCTATGGCTGTCATGAATAAGGTAGGGTAACATTTTTTTTTCTTTTATAAAATTGTATTTTGATAATATGCAGCAAACACACACATATATATATGGAGGCATGGTGGAGTAATGGATAGCAGCTTGGATTGAGGAATCGGAGAGTCGAGTTCAAATTCCAGTCAAATCCATTACATTCACTTAACGTGCTAATACCCTTTGGGAAAGATGCAAGTCCTCTTCTTCTCCCTCCAGCTATGGGTAAATAGCAGGACAGACTGGGTTCTATAGCCTTGGATGGCAACTGGTCTAGGAGGACAACTCTGACTTCAAAACCTGAAGAGGGTTGTTTGGGGACCCTGTGGCACATAATGCACCAAGTCTCTGTATTCAATCCTTCAAAAAGTGTGGATAGTTCTGCAAAAAACCTTCACCACTATGATCAAATCTCATGTGCTGGTGTCAGGCTGTCAGTTTCCTACGAAGTGATCTGCTTGACCTTCGTATGTCAAATTCGACGGGAGAATCGAGTGTATATATATATATATATATATATATATATATATATATATATATATATATTGGGACAGATCATTATTTAAACATATATTGTTAAATATAACAGACAATAAATAGATTACGTTTGATCATGAGAGGTTCTAAACTTCATATAGTTGCTTTAATTTCAGGAGAAAATAAAGACAAAATTTGGATATTTTTTTTATTAAGTTGGTCCTTGATCTAAGCTTTTGGCTCACATGAGCCACCTTCAGAGTGGTTATGCGGACATTTAAACAAAGATATTCTGATATGGTTGACATAGAAGATTGTGATGCAATGATAACAGTCATGGAATAGCAGACGCAGGTTGTAAATTCGTGATGCAGTTCTATGACATCACCCCACATGAGAGAACAAAATATTAACAACAGAACCATATGTTTAGATGTAATGTAATGTGTTGTGACTAGTTTGAAATGTAATTTTGTTTTGTGGGTTGCTTTGTTTTAATGTAGATAGCCTCCAATATCTGATGGTTCTTTTTACTGTGTATGCGTGAGTATTATTGTTATCAACTAATATCTGTCTAATATCATGTACATGGCTATGTTTTTCTAAGAAATGTTGTTTAATAGAACTAAGATCAGAAAGGTGACAGGTAAGTCTATGGGAAAGCATGGTTGTAATAAAACCAATATATGTAGTGGGTTTATTATTCGTATCAGAGATACAATCTCTGAATGGGCATGTAAATTGATAATTAGTTTTTTTTGTAGAGGATTTAGTTTTATGGTTGTAGAGTTATTAGACTATAAGGTCAATTGTTTTAAATTTTTTATAATATATGATGAGCTTATTATTAATGGGTTTAACATTTCTACCTATTGTTTTTGAGTATTGCTTCATGTTTGTAATTATTATGCATTTGGTTACAATAGTGTAAGTTAATAGTATTACATTTATTTTGACGCACATTATTATGGTTACAATTATTATTATTATCAATTAATTGATAAGTTTATTAAGATATATCTTAATTTGTTGATCAATGACGGAATTAGGGAATACATTAACAAGTGTTTGTTTAATGTTATGTAATTCTTTATAGAATATGATTTTGAAAGACATAATTTGTGAGTTGAATGGTGAATATCTTTGTTTAAATGTCTATATAACCACTCTAAAGATGGCTCATGTGAGCTGAAATCTTAGATCAAGGAAGAGCATAAAAAATATTCAAATGTTGTACAATTTTTATTTTCTCCCGAAATTAAAGCAACTATACAAAGCTTAGAATGGCTCATGATCAAACATAATAGACATTTGCTATCTGCTATATTTAACAATATGTTTGAATATATATATATAACAAATAAAAAATTAATTCAGTTTGTTGATAATTATAAAATATGCTGAACTTAGAATATTAAGATCATTTATTTAAATGGTGTTTCTAAATCAATCTAAATATTGTTTTTTTTAAATATATTAACAATCAATAATTTGACTGGGACACCATGTAAAGTGCACGTATGCATATAATGGATGTATTTTTAATTCATTTTTATTACTTCAAATGTTATTTGAGTAGACACTTTTTTTTAAAATAGTATTTTGTCTAATGGTCAGAAAATTTGAGAAATCTTAAGAGAAAAAAAATGTGCAATGTGTTTTAACCATCTTGGCTACAAAGAACGTCATCAATTAACCAAGATTCTATACTACTTTTTAAGAACACTTTTCCTTGTCTAGACCTTTGAAAGTTCATAATGTCTGTTTCGTATCCAAAAAATAAACAAAGCCATTTTTAAAGTAACATGTTATTACTTTAAGTGTTATTTTTAGTGGATCTGAGTAGATGCTCCATTTATTTTTTTTTAATTAGCATTTTATTTCATTTTTTTTTAATTAGCATTTTATTTCATTTTATTATTGCCTGAACATTTGAAGAAATCTACAAGAGAAAAAAATGTGCTTTGTTTACATTTCAGTTACAAAATGCTTTTTCAAGCTTTTGGCAACAGATTTTTGAATCACCTACGTTTGAAGAGCATTCAGCAATCAAATCAATAAAACACCAGGAAATATGAGAAAAGAAATCATCCATGCTTTTTCTTTACTACAAGTGTCAGATTATGCCAAAAATGGATTATTGCTGTTAGAGCTACTCAATCCTCACTTTCCAACCTTGATAGAGTTCAAAATCATTTACACAGCCTTGATTTATCTTCATGTCTACAGACTCTTTCCCAGAAATGCAATGTTGCAAGCCTATCACTACTCTATTGCCATTTTCATGGCAAATGAGCTCCAATTCAAACCTTTACAAATAGGACTCGCCATGCTATGGCCAGAGGAAAATCACCCATATTTCATCTGGATTCCATTTGTAAGGTGAAAGTTCCAATCTGAAAGCTTCTTCCAAAAAACACTATAATCTTAACCTCTTTAAGTCAAGGGTCAATTTCTATTTATTCACCTATCCTCAATCTTCATTTATTTCTACCTTGTCTTATATTCTTATCATACACATCATGTAGTAGTCTTCTACAAAATGCAGCTCTTCAGCCTTGTAAAATGTGTGTGTGTGTGTGTGTGCTTTCTGAACAATCCAGCACAACATAATTGGAATTAGTTATAGTCTACTAAGTGAGCCTCATGGAAAGCCTGAAAATGCATTGCTCTGCTGTAGTCTCCCCAAGGCTTGACAGTATAGAATTTTGCTTAATTGATATCATCCTTTGTGGCTAAGTTGGTCAAAAGCACATTAGATCTACTAATGGTTTCTCTTGCAAAGAGAGATGTATGTTCAAATCCTGCTGGAATGTGCATTTTTTTCCTTAATATTCCTCAAATAATCAAGCCAGTAGACAAAAATAAAATATACTGTTTAAAGAAATAAACAGTGTCTACTCAAAAATGGGTATCCACTGAGAATAATGTTTAAAGTGATAAAAATGTTTAAATATATATATATATATACACATACACACACACTCAATATCATCCTATTTAAAAAAAAAAAAAAAAAAAAAAGGGTCCAGTTCAGGAACTTTATGCTATCACTTTGCATGTATAAAAAGATATATAAAAAAAAATCATGTACTCAAATCTGAATGAAATCCTTTTTTCTTTTAAAAGGATATTGAAGTCAACTTAAAGGAGATAAGATCTCTCACAGAGCAGCACCATCCTGATATAATTCTTCTAGAATCTGCTGGAGATTGTTTGGCATCATATTTCAGTCGAGACCTTGTGGACTATGCAATTTTGGTGATTGATGTAGCAGGTAAATACTTTGATAAAATATACATTTTTCTTTTCTAGGATCCAAATCATAAAGTATAGAATATATGTATTAATGTGAATACAACTTGTACTAGTCCTGAAAGAACATTGTCAAATACTTTAAAACTTTATTAGTATTTTTTTAAGCTAAAATGGCTAATTGCTTGCCTCTGTAATAAAAAAAAAAATTGATGTAAGCTGTAAAATCAGTAGAATTACTAAATATTTTATATTGTATTAAAAAATTCTATTTATTTAGTTGAAATCTCTTTTCCTTTTAATGTATTAGATCCAAGGATAAAAATTTTAACCAACATCAGTACTAATTCTTGTACACCCCAAGTACTGGTCAAAATCCTAAGTTGCTGTTTATAGATAAAAAGAAAAGATCATATATTCTACCAACAAGAAATGTGTTTACTCTGCTTGTGATGAAGGGAAAAATTAATTGTAAATACTTTTACCTTGTATATCATTTAAAAAAAAAAAAAAAGTTGGCAAAATATCCTATTGACTATAAAATTCACTATGTTCTTTTTATACAATAGGATTTAGAATTAAGCTAAATGTGAATGAAATCAATTTTTATGTGATGTTCATAAACATTTCAGGTGGCCACAAATTGATACACAAAAGAATTGAAGGTAATAACCACAGTGAATTGCTCATTATCAACAAAATTGATCTTGCTGAAGCAGTTGGAATAAATATGGAGGTGAGATTCTCTTGATTTAGAATAAAACCATGTTAAGGTTTTTTTGTTTTTTATATTACCAGAAATATTTCTTCAGATTTTCACCTTTTTTTAAAGAGACAAATCCAATAGCATTTATTAGTGATCTTTTCAAATGTGATATGAAATATAAACAAAGGAATTTCCCTGGATGTTTTAACAGGTTTTCATGAATAATTCAATGACATTTTTATTTTTAAACACAAGTCCATTCATCTGATTTTCTTTAAAAGATATATTTTAATGTTTTGGTGAAGACACATGATTTTCCTCAAAAATCACTATTAGTAGGAACTCCCTAGACTGAGATTATTTTCAACACTGAGTGACATCAATTTGTAGGTCTAAAAGAAAAAGGTTTTAACTTTAACAAAATAAAAATGGGAGTTTTTACCCCTCCTCCTTTAATCTTGCCATAAAATAAGATTTAAACAAGGAATTATCAGATTCCTCTTCCTCCTTGTCATGATCAGGATTCAGATGTACCCTGAAATCCTCTTTAAATGTTTATTCAGTAACCTTGAAATTTCAAATTGAACTTTTTTTTTTTATTCTGCTTTCCTTGCCGGATGAGATCTTTTCAGTTATTTTTCTTGTGATAATGCATTTTTGCCCTGATATTTAAAATAGCAATATTCATACACACTATTAACATTCCTTAGACATCTGTGTTACTGACCATGATATATCTATCTTGGAGGTACTGCTGGTTTGCAGTATTATATATTAAAACTGCACAGATTTTTATGTATTAATGTTTAAGACATTTTAAATTTTATAAGATCATGATTGGTTAAAAGTTATTAAAGTTGATATATCAATCTGCTATGAAATGTTAATGATTCTTTGCTTGTCTTTTAGGATTTCAAAATGGAAGTGATAATGACTCGAATGGATAGAGGTCTTCTCTTTACATCTACCAAGAACAAAAAAGACATGAAACATGTGGCTGAATCTATAATGTATTCTTGGAGGAACCATACCCAACAAATTCCACCACAATGTCCTTGAACATTTTTTTGTTTAAGCAAATAAAAAAAAACAAAGAAGAAAAAGTTATATATTTACACACTTAAATAAAAATTGTGCATGTCTAAGATATTGCCATGCCAATGGATTATAAAGATAGAATTTATTCCAGTTTCTCTTTAATGTTCAATTAACCATTTATTTATTTCATATTGGATTCCTGATCTGGAGACATTCTTGTACCTTGACAGTTATTTAAGTAAATGAAAAGATCTACAATCATTATTTGAGAACCTTTTCAACTCTCAGGTGTTTTGGACAGGTGATGATGGTCATAAGCTCTTGCTTAGTAATAGAATACTTTCCTCAGCATAAGCTGTTCCAAGCACTGAACTCTCAATGACATCAGCTATCCTCAAGGTAGCTTTTGAGTCAGAAAGATTCCCAGAAATAGTCTCAAGTGCAACAACTAAGGTTGCTGCTTTGTATATTTCTCCCATTTGCCCTGTCATAACAATGTTCTTTATCCTTAGGATCCATTCATGGCTGCTCTTGTGCACAAGTTTGATGTCAAGATAATTGTTCTCCAAGGGCCCGTCAGTCAAGATGGTAATATCCTACATTAGTTTCAATTGCTCATTCTCATTTACTCACAATAGTGGTTATACAAATTCTGTATACTCAGGGCTGTTTCTTACATAAGTTTTAATGTATTCTGATTATTATTAATAATTACTCCTTTTTGGCATAAGAGAAAAACTAGGCTTAATTTAATCAAAAGTGGAAGACTGAAGTTAAATGTGACATTACTTATAGAGGTTTATATTGATTGTTATTGCACAGGACTTTAAATTTAGTTTCTCTGTTGAAAATATATATTTACACTTGTAAATTCAAATAATGTACAAGACAAAAAATAAAGGCTGTAGTAAACAAAAAAAGAAGAAAGAAACAAAAACAATCAGAAGAAAAGGAAAAATATATTTAAAGGATACTTATAAAAAGAAATTGCAGAATGTTTGTTTATTACATGATACAATGAGAGGGAGATTCTAAATCTGTAAAGTCCATTAAAGGGCAGTTGTTACATGGAGACATTTTGCAGTCGTTTCTGGAAGGTTAATATTGTTGGATAGCCTCCTCAATCTCAGGAATACTGTCCTTCAACCGTTTCCACTGTTCTAAATTCAAACTGATTCCTATGAAGAAAAAAAAAAAAAAATTCAAGTTAGAATCTAATTTCATATCAATAATTAGCATAGTGTATTCTGTAAAGATAAAACATAGCAGTGAGACTTTGGTATTTTGTGGAGTGATTCAAGGAACTGACCATTTTCCCAGCATTTTTGTGAAAGCATGAATGTACACGTTTCATTTGAGATCAGGAATGAGCTTTAGCTCCAGTGGGCATTAGGAGGTAAAGAGCCTCTTCAAGGGTATGACCACTCATCAGGATTGGTGTAGGTTTAGAGTGGTCAGTGATGAAATATTAGGAGTTTAATTTTGGATGTATTGAATGACATCAGTTAGTCTTTTCTTCATTAAGCACTGGTCATGAAGATATTTGGAGGTACAAGTACAAATATTAATAACTATAAAAGTTGTGTTTTGCACAATTTCTATCAGTGTACCAGAAAATTGTTTAAATCATTGACTGTCATTAATTTTAATCTATACAAAATTATGTTTTAGTGTAAATTAGTAGGTTTCAAATATTATAATATAGAAAGTGGGAGCCAGTGTTACTGGTGTTAAACATTAAATTCATTATTTCAGCATGAAAATACAAAAACAAAACCAGACAAATGTTTTAAAATGACTGTCCAGAGAAAAGTACACAAAATAGTAGGTCAGCTATGAAATACTAACATAGTAAGCATCATGATTAAGAAATAAAATCTTTAAAAGTCTCAAAACTTTTTCAGAGTCAATAAATTATTTCAATTGAAATGATTATGAAACAAGATTCATGAAAAGTTTTTATAATAAAACTTTTATGCTAAGCAAAAAATAAAAATTCACTTGCAAATAAGTTACAAGTGACAATCTATACAAACTAAATAATAGAATTCTTCTCTTGCTGTACCTTTTCTGCCTGGTCTTAGTTCTCCATCAGCTTCATAATATTCACGTATTCCAACCATCACTTTGCCTCGGAATTCACTGACAGTTGCATACCTCATTTTAGACAACTGCATAATAAAAATGATAATTAGTATAGAAGAAGTCACAAGTAGAAAACGAGTGGGTGTATCATAAGCATAAAAGCATGCATTAAGTATATTTCCATGCAATTTTAATCTAGTTTACTTGATATTTTAATACTGGCACTAAAGTAGGTTTTATATATTTTTCTGCACTGCAAATTAGTTTAACACAGTTTATGCTAATGTAATGAGTTTGATCCTTGCACACATGCCCAACTATTTTCTGTTTTGGTAAACTCAGGTTAGTAAATATCAATATATTTTCTTATCTATTTCCCCCCAAGTTCAGATAATTACAATATCATACAGGGTGTGACAAAAATACTTCCCATATTGTTATATCTCGTGCAAGATATAATAAACAAAGTAAACCAGAGTGTGGTTTTCAATAATACTTTTGAAATCGGATGTAGGTATGTCAAAATACAGAGAGAGGAGTAAGCTAACCGCAATAGGTGTTAACAAACGAAGACCTTTTCTTTACTGTTCGCTGTGGTCGTACTTTATCGGCAACCAGTCCGTCCATTATCGTGAATGGGGAAGTTGGGTTATCTCATCACAACACATATAATGGTAAAACATTAGGTAGATGAAGATACCATTTGCCACTAATGTCTGACCATTATGCGAGAGATATTTTTGACACACACCGTAGCTACAAAACATTAACAAAAATATTCCATACTTGACCAATCAATACCTACTAATATTTTATTGGTACTGACTAATACCATTTTGAATACATTTGCAAGATTAACAAAATAATAGGAATAGGGATGGGTTATTGATATCCCCTTCCTTCCAGTTCATTCCCACATAATGAATATCAATCTGAAAGCAAAAGTTTGAATAATTTTCTAATTTTGGCACAGGTCAAAGAGAATTTGAAGTCAAAGTATTAAATATATAACCCCCAAATGTTGGTGCAATGTTTTACAACTCTTCAACAGACAAGAAATTTTATGCAATTGAAGGATATGGCTAATGTTTTCATTTGGCAAAACTGTCAATCTGAAGAAATTTCAAAAATTAAGGTGATAAAAAAAAGGACACATTAAAGAGAGGAAGGAAAAAAAATAAAGAAAATAAAATTAACATAATGTAGTAATATCAAATTCCAATTAAAAATAAAGAAAAGTTACAATATTAACACTTTATGGTAATCTTGTTTTTTTTTTTTTGTTACCTCTTTTGAGTCTGAGCTAAAGAGCCTGCTGTAATCATTCATTTTTTGACAATCTTTTGTGGGTTATTTAAAGTGGAGACATTTTGGATTGCAGGGGTTTTCTTAGTACCCAGTATTTCCAAGTAGTTCCCCCATCTAAGTATTGACCTGGCACAATGTTGTTTAGCTTTAGTGATTAAATGACAAAGCTAAATTCATGAAGAAATTATATAAAGAAAAATATTTAAAATAGACAGATAAGTGACAACATGAAGACAAATTTTTAAACTCCTTTTGTTGAAAATGCCACTAGGTATGAAAAGCTATTAAAAATTTGTTTTAATCAAGAACTGAACAACTGACCTGAAACATGTTTTCCTGGTCACCACTTCCTGAAGATTTAGCAGTAGGTTTTTTCTCTGGTTTCTTTTCTACTTTCTTCTTTTTAGGTGGGGGCTACCAGAAAAAGAAAATGGCAGATTAAAGCAAAAGATATCAAAGACAGAACAACAGTCTCATACTTTCACTAAAAACGTTTCCATTCTCTTTATTTGTTATCAAAGAGACCGATTTCAAATTCTGAAGATATGGTCATCATTCAGTGATGAAATTAATGTCAGACAAACATGTAGTTATAGAATTTTTCTTACAATATAAAAATAATATTTTTTTATTTTACAAGACAAAAAACAAAGCTCACCAGTCTATCTTCTGGTCCACTGTCACTGTCAGAATCAGAGAGGTCTTTCGTTTTGGGCATTTTGCTCGAGTTATTCTGAAAGTTAAGTAAAATCCAATTAAAGAAAATTCTTTCCATCATGAATTCATAATTCATTTGAACAAAGCAGTCAGCACAAAACGGATTAACCAATTGTCTTATGAATAAACTGAAAATGGTTGAGAGATTAACACTATATAGTGACAAATGAAAACACCATTCTGGGAACTTTATTTGCAGTGTCCCCTCAGGAGGGTAGGCGATCATGATTTTCCACAACTTCCTGTTCCTTGTAGCTCTTAATAAACTTTATCTTTCCGTTATTTCTCTTAAGCCCTGTTCCTCTAGTATGTTATACCTTGTTTCACTCTTACTGTCAAATTTTCAAAGACTTTCTTCCTCATTATATGTCCCAGAAAGCTCAACCGTCTCTTTCTGATGTCAAGTATTAGTTACCATTTTCTCCAAAACTTCATTATTCATGTTCAGTCCACAGTACCCTCAGCATCCTTCTGTAGAACCACATTTCTGTTGCTTCAGTTCCCCTTTTCATGAAATAATCACGAAAGATAACTTCATTAATAATTATATGTTATACTGCCATTTATTCTGATTAGTTATCACTTGAAAGTTTTTATGCGCAGAAAGACATTTAAAAAGAAAAATTTTTAAAAAATCAGATTTCCCTGTGATTTTCTAAGTTGTTTGTCTAAGTAAATATTGAAACTATTTTCTCATAGGAATTTGCAGTTATAAGTTTAAATAAATTAAATTGCTACATTAATTTTTAACGCCTTTGCTCATCATTGCAAAAAGAAAAAAATATATAATAAAATTAGGTACCTCCAACGAATTGGTACACCTAAGGTTTAAATGAATTTCCATAAATGGAAAATCTTAAAGCTTTCATTGAAAGCTAAAAGGATTAAATTTACTATTCCCAGTAAGCAAAATATTCTGTAGTGTATTTCAAACAGAAATTCTATTGGTTGGAGTCAATTCCCTCTTTTCTGCTTTTTGGGGGGGCTGCCATTGCAATGAATTTTTCTTTAGAAAAAAAAAAAACACTTTTCTGAAATTTTATTTGAGGAATATTAGCTGATTTAAAGTGTAATTAATTTGAAACAAATATTTACTTAAGTTGAAAATAACAAATGGATTAAAAAAAAACAAACCAGTAGCGCGTGATTAAGTACCGATCAACACCTTGTAAATCATAAGTGATTTACAAAGTGTTGACACTTATGATTGTTCTATGGCGACCTTATCAGTTAAAATATAAAATGTCTGGTGAACACTTTATTTAATTTTTAAGTAATCTTAAAAATGTTGGAAATGTTCTCCATAATCTAATTTTATGAATGTTGGCTTTAAATTTACTTGTATAATCAATCTTATTTTCTGATAATGTAACTTATGGTCACCCATACTTTCAAAATAGGCATGTTTATACACATTAAAAAAAAAAAAAAAAAAAAAAAAACTTTTTTTGGCTTGATTCGTGTTAAGCTTTTCAATTTTTGCTTAGTAAATATAGTCTTCACTTAATCTAATGATGACAACATTTGGAAGAATTTTTTAAAAACATTTTTGAAACTTTATAAATTATTGTACGATTGCAGCATGAAGGCAGTCGAGCCAGATAGATGTCACTGTTGATGCTCATCATTGTCATTCCATCAATAATGAATCCTGTTTGAGATGATTTCCCTATGGATGATTCTGCTTCTGTCCCACCAAATACACCACATTGTCTTCATACAGTACACGTTTTTCAGTATTCCTTTTGGCAAAACTCCTGGTGAAACGCAGACCTTCTTTCGACATTTCTCAAGAGAAGCCATGATTTATCCCCAGTGACAATATTCTTCAGAAACGGAGCTTGCTCGTTTTGTTGCAGTAAATCAGTGAAAATTCTGATACCTTTGGCTTTATTGTTGTCAGAGTTCATGAGGGACCCATCCAGCCAATTTCCATACCTTTCCGAGCTTTTTGAGACGACGAACGATGGTTGAATGGTCCACATTGAAGTCTTCGGCCAGCATTCGAGTTGTCAAGCTTTTGTCCTCTTCCATGGCTGCCAAAAGTGCCTGGTCATCGAAACCTGATGGTCGACCTCTTCCTGGCTTATCTTCCAAGCTCGTGTCGCCAGATTTAAAACGGGCAAACCATTCCCTGCATCGACTTTCACTAATTGTTCCTTCACCAAGAAGTTTGTTGAGATTGCGAAATGACTGTGCTGCTTTCCATCCTTTATGGAAGTGGTAAAGCATAATATGACGAATATGAGTATGATTATCAACACGCATTTTTATAACCTGAAAATAAAATAATATTTTTATTTAAAAAAAAACAACAAAAAAAAAAACAAAACAGTAATTTTTATTAACAAATAACTCGCCTACAAAAACGCCTGATAATTATGCACCAACCTAATATTATAAAAAAGAAAATGAAAACAATTCTTGTAAAAATTCATTATTCATCGAAAATCTTTTTTTCTTCTTCAGGCTATAAAGGTCCTTAAAAGTAATCAAAAGCCTATCTAATTAAGTAATTAGATGGGCTTAGTTTTTATTTCACGATTGGATGCAGATTTTAGGGAATTTGGTAAAAGTTAAAAAAAAAAAATATTAAGGAGTTACATTCACCAAGAAATCCTGCTTCTAACCGGAAAAAAATTTTTTTTTTTTTTTTACGAAGATTTTCTAAAATAAAAATTTCAAAAATAAATTACTTTAAGAATTATTGTGAATAAGTCCTGAACGTTTCATTAATATCCAACAATTATTTGATTTTTGCAAGACTTTTCAAATTAATGTTATTTTACCGGAAAATAGGAGCGAAAAATTTCCATTAACCAGCTCTTTTACCGCTGACGCATAAAAAAAAAAAAAACGAATGTGTTAAAAATCCGTAAAGAAAAAAAAAAAAAAAGAAAAAAAAATAATAAAAAGTTTTCCCTCTTAATATCAAACATGCCTTTTTCATCATGCTATGCTGTTTTTTTAGCAAAAAAGTGCAGGTACCTAAAAAAATGCAACGATTAACTTTTTCAATAGTTTTTGTGTGCGTGCGCGCGTGTGTGTGTATGTTATTAATTGGAAAAAAAAAAAAAAAAAAAAAAAAAAAAACGGTTGAAGTCTTTGTCAATATCATTTTTTAAAAATTGAAGAATAAGCGAGGAAAGGAATATTACTTAGTAATTAATTATTACCCTAACACTTAAGTTAATCGTGATATCGAACCAATATTCTCCGACATTTCAAGTTAAGAAAAAAGAAAAAAAAAAAGAAAAACTTTTTTACATTGTGTACAATATCATTTTCAGTATTGGAATTTAAAAGTAATGTATTTTAAAATAAAAATAAATGCTAAAAAAGTTTTTCCCTCCTAAATTTAGTTGCTTTGTCGACAAGTTATGACTCAATGAATGTCAATGCAATATTTGCAATACGTTTTCGGCATATTTCGAAATTATTCAGTTCCTAAAAACACCAATACATTTTTAAAGAAAAAAGAAACCAGGCAACGTTTTTTCTTTCAAAGATGGTTTTAAAAAGTGCCTCTCCCCACAAAACTTCATATTTTCTTCCGAAACATTTTTTTTTTTTTTTAAATTTTTTTAAAAATGTCATACGAAATTTTTCGAAGTGAAGAAAATTTAAAACTAAAACTTTATTTAAATTATTTGATGTGAGTGTGGGGGAGGAGACAATACAAAGTTACAAAACCTATGTGAGTGAACATTAATGTTTGTAGATGTTGTCCACGTCGCAACAGAATGCAACACACACAGCCGGAATTTAAAGTCGGATTTCGGAAAAGCCGTACAAAAAATTGCTCAAGCGGCGACCCTCCCTGGACATTTCGCTTTTTTTGGGAGACGTTTTAGGCGCCGGGTAATGACACCCCAGCCCCCTCCTAGAAGGTGAGGGTCTTGTAGCTCGAGTGATTTAATAATTACAAATTTTTTTAAGGACTTCCTCGGCATCTGTAGAAAGGTGCAATATTTCATTGTAATAATTCCCGCCGGAATATACTGGGATGGGGGTTTAGTTAAAAAACGAGCTGAGGCTAGGATTTTGAATTCATCAGCAAATCTAAGAGAGAAGGAAAAAAATAAAAAAATAAAGTGGCAATGAAAAATAACATTATTTTGCACAATGACCGAGCTATCAATTCAGGTATTCACACAAAAAAAACGTGTGTGCACTGATGAGCTACATGACAATATACAAGTTGACTTTAAAAACGAAGTAATGGCTATATTTCTGATATTTGGTCGTTTTCTTCCTAGCAAAAAAAACCTAAGGTTGTCCGTTGATTCTATGCTGCTTTTAGATGATCTCAGATTTTTATACAAAGAACGAACTCTTAAGTCAGCTTTGAGGTATATTGGTTTTCATCACAAGTTAAATCAAATAGTTTGAAAGTTTGAATAGTAAGAAAATATCAATATCCAAATAAGCAATTATGTATTTTTTTTTTTTTTTTTTACACGTAAAACTAAATATGCAACTTTAGCCGAATCTTTAGGAATTCAGTTAAAAAAAAAAAATAACTCATAAAAATGAAAGTTGATGAATGACGACTAAAGTGAAAAGAAAAATAAAGAATTATTATATTAAAAAAAAATAAAAATAAATCAGTTTTAATACAAGCTAATTGAACTACATAAAGTAAAAAGAAAAAAATGTTTTTTTGTTTTGCTTTTTTAAATGAAAATATTCAGAAATTACAAACGTGTGTGGGTTTTTAAAATTATACCGGTTTCCACTTGGTTCAGTTTTTAAACTAAAATGGTCAATCTGAGTAGCGATACCGAACGAAAAAGTAAATTGTTTTATTGAAAAAATAAAATATGGAGAAAATTTAAAATACAAGCGAATATTTGAACACCAGAAAAAATAAATAACAGCAGTAACGGATTGAATAGTTAAATGTCAGAAATTAACCTGGAAAAATAAAACAAGCTTAAACTAAAGAAAATATTTTATTTTGCAATTAAGTAAGAGGATTCGTTTTCATATCCCGAAATAAATGACATCTTTTAGAAATGAGCTGTTTTTTTATTGCGAGGATGGAGTGAACACTAAAAATAAGTTTCCGACTTCAATCCATTTGTCCAAAATTTAACTTTTCTTATCGCAACTGAATAAGAAAAACAGTTTACAAAATTAGAAACTCCAAGATTTTCTGAAAGAGTTTGTTTATTGTTCTCGGGTTATCTTCCACAATTTTCCCACCCGGACATTGTTAATCTTCCTCAGGGGGTTCATTTAGGAACAACATTTCTGAAAGCATCGTCATATTCGTTCGCTAGTAGTTTTTTCTTGCTTCAGTTGCACTATGTCCAAATTTAAATTCTTAAAAAGAGTAAATGGTACTTGCTCTGATCCAGACAACATATATTCAAGAATGAGGGGATGGAAAAAAAAAGTTTATGAACGTAACGAACTATTCGTATATAGCAGTTAAAAAAAAAAAAAATACCCCAATTTACATAAACGATAGCATAGACCTACTTAAATCCATCTTGATCGTACCAAACCATGAAACATCGTGAACCCGACACTTTATGTGATACTGCCTAATGGATAAAATTGAAGTAATAAGCTTTAAAAAAAGAGAAGTCTTTCTTACTTACATTACAAATTACCTGGTTGTTTCAACTGCGTGAATTTTATGATTTATCACGCGCTAGCAGCCGGTGCCGTTGAATTAACTCCCTTTAATTTACCCGCGAATAACCGTTCTCTGAGTAGTAGTCGTAGTAGCAGCAGCGGTCGTTGTTGTTGTTGTTTACAAACAAAGCGTAAATGAGTTTGGCACAAGGCCACGAATATGGGCCATACTTTGAAGATCGAATTTACATCTACTTACTTACAAGTTCAGCTTTTTAGACTAGTTTGTTAGCCATTACCCCACCCACAGTAGTAATTATATATTCGAGGAAGTGCTGAAAAGTTCTCGACCGAACCCACTTTTAAAAATTTGACAAAGTTATGCAGGGCTAAGTTAGTACAAAATAATTGTATGAGGTACCTAGTGAAGAAATGACTATTTGATCTGTTAGAGAAAATTGCTAAAGCCTGTTTTTTAAACACAATAATCTGTAGAGAAATGGAAACTATTCTTTAAGATATTACTAACTTGAGACACTCACCTGTGGATACAAATATTCAAAATAGTACTCAAGTATTATGCTTATAAATGAATAGAAGATAGGGATTCAGGAAATGGAATCAAATGTTTTCAGATTATACTTTCTGAGGACGAGACATTTTGTGCCAAGGCTCTTGAGAAAAACATGAGCCTGAATTTCCATAATTTTGAATTTCACAAGAAAATTGAATACAGAATAGTTTGTGCTAGGGGTGTGGAGTGAAGACAGAAATAAACATCATGACAGTCAAACATCAAATGACAAAAAAATGGTTTCTGAGTCAGAGGATCCACTGTGTCCTTCCGGTTAATAAATTAATCCTTTGAAAATAAATATTTAACATTTTTCAACCAATGGGTTGCGTTCGTGCTGACAATAAAAAAAACATGTTTTGTGATCCCTTTGAAGAGTATTTAAGTAAAGTCTCTAGATGGACAAAGCCAGCAAAGAGATAGAGATGGATACATGCAACATCAATTCGTGGTGACGGCTTCAAAGATATTCCCTTACTCATTTACCCGTCTTCCTCACCAAGCTACATGACACTTACACTTGCTTCCTCACTTTCTCCCTTGCTTCTTTTTCTCTTTACATACATGTGAAGAAATCAGATTTCTTTTCATCTTAACAACCAACTACAAACAAGGAACTTTAACACAAGAACTTTAACACTCATACATGCTGAGAAAAATTTAGTTGTAAAAATATGAAAATAAAAATATTTTATATTTTTATATTTAAAAACCTTTCTCATCTTTTTCTTTGTTGTGGGTTTATTCAAATTCATAACAGGGGTACTTTTGTTCAACACTATAACATGCTATAAAACCAAAATATTAACCTGAAAACTCATGTTTTTAAATAGTCTTGTCTGATCTAGACTTTCATGTAGATGTCATGCAATTTGTTCAGAAATATCTAAACTATCATCTACAACTATGTTCTCAGATGAATAATTAAAAGTATCTTCAATTAAATGAAACTTTTAGGATTTAAAGAAGACCTGAAAGATTTAGGTCTTCATCAGAATCTAAAGAATCACGAAAAGCTGTACAAAATTGCAAAATCTAGATCACTTGAAGACATCCAACAGTAACAACAAAAATGTATAGAACATGTAACCAGAAGGGAAAATAATGATCTAATCAAGATGTTAACTTTCCACACTACCTTAAACAAATGATTGGGAAAGAAACTGCTATCAGTACTAAAAAAACTATAAAAGTGGATCTGAGAAACCTGTTTTTTTGAAAAACTGTTTTAAGAAAAAGATTTTTTAAATTTCAACTGATACTGATGCTGTCTGATCAGTGAATGCTGAATGTCTCCTGTATAGAAACAGCTAATTCTACTATTACTGTAATTTTACCTCATTTGTTATCTTAAATTTGTTTTTATAAAACATGGGAAAATAATGAAAATCTAGTTGTTATTATAATAATGTTTATCAGGTATTGCTAAAATAATTACTTTTAAGGATTAATGTTATTTTATGGAAATTTACTCATCAAAAGTTTTCATATGCAGAAGTAGAAATCATGTATTCATTATCATTTTTCTTTGCAAATAAGCAATAGTGGATCTATTGGCCTCATCAAACAGAAATAGATAGGCTAATAGGAGTAAATAGGCTTGCCCAACATTTGGTTCACACTCCTTCCCAGTCTTTTGAACAGGAGTAGAGATTTTTCCCTTGTTTCTTGTTTAGGATTGAGTTTCCAGTCCCTTCAAAATCTACTTCAACACTATAATTCTAATATCTCCACCTAAAACTCTAAACTTATTACTTACTACTTATCTACTTTTATTCCTCAATATTGTTTGTTTTACATACCTTCCCAGTCCTCTGAACACGAGGATAGGTTTATTCCTTATTTCCTGTTTAGGATTGAGTTTCTGGTTCTTTCTAAAATCTTTTCCTTCCCTTTCACTTCTGGTAACCCCTTGCATTTTGGTGGCATTATCACCTAGCTTAGGGTGGTGTCTCTTACTTTGTAAGCCTCTACCTTGTGGGGCTGTTGGGCCTTGTACAGGGTGAGTATTATTGTAAATAAAAAATTACTATAATTGCATCTAAAGTTGATATTATGATTTCAAGATAGTAAATTGAGCCCAAATCACTTATTTAGAAAAGGTAATGTAGTGAATTGCCACTACATACATACATAATCCAGAATGGGTGATATAGCTGAAACAGCTGCTAGATGTGAAAACCTCAAACACAGAAATCAAACATGATATTTTGTCTCTGTATATAGGGATCAATGCCTATTTTCTGGCAAGAATAGATAAAAACTGAAAATAAATACAATCTCAATTTCTAACCAATCAGAGGCATTTCCTGCTTTTTTTAAGTAACCTAGAAAATCAACTTGTGTGATCCAATCTCTATACTTAAAAACAATTTTTTTTTTCTAACTGGAAGTTATTTAAGTCTTGTGTGCTACATGCATGTACCTACAGAAATATGACACACCAAACTGACACACCAGCTACTTCAGTAGCTTATTTGTTCATTCATTTATTTATTGCTTGCTATGTTTTAGTACAAAGAGTTGAAGTCAAAATTCACTGTGCTAAAGACAAAAAAATCTTCATTGTGCTGCAATTGATGTTACCTACTTCAGTCTTTGTCTCAGGTAAGATGAAGAATTACTGCTTGCATGCTTTTTTTTAAATCATTTCACCCCAAACAAGGCAATAAAGCCACTAAGATGCAACAGTTTATTGAATGTGAATAAGAAAAAGAAAACATTAAAGAGCAAAAACAACAAAAGAAGAAAAATCAAAAAGACAGTAAATAACAGTTGACATTGCATTTAAATTTTTAAGATCAAAGTTGGCTTGAATGTAAGAGACCAGAAGATAATTCCACAGATGAGAAGTGCAAAGAACTTATGGTTATTTATAGCCAGCTCAATTGTAAGATAATGACACCTCATTGCCAATCTTGTACTATACTTAAATTCATAAAGTCTAGGTACCATAGAGTAAAGTTCATCAGAACAATTACCATGAAAGTAATTATGGAATTGAGGAAAGTGACTGAAGCCAGGAAGTCAGGACCAATAACATTGCAGATTATTCCTTGGATTTTATCAAGAATCTCTAAATATATAGCAGGAGCACCAGATCAGATGTGGCAGCAATGTTTGAAGTATGGACGAATGGTAGACTTATAAAGGTGTAAGATAGATTCTGGAGAGAAAAATTGTCTAGCACAACACAATGAAACAACTTTTCTAACAGATGATCTAGCAGTTGAGTCAATATAATCTTTCTACTTCATGTCAACAGAAAACGTTAGCCCTTGAAGGCACAAGTCACTCTCTTGGAGGTTAGCGTCAGACATGCCGATGGATGGTAAAAAGGGTTCTCTCAGATGATTAATAGAGAGCAGTTTCATTTTAGAGGTGTTAAAATTTAAAAGCCATTACTTGCCCCAGTTAACAAAAGATTGTAGGTCATTTTTGAGATCAGATGTCAATTTGGTCTTATCAAGCCAATCAAACCTACTGTTAAGATAGGAGTAAATAGTCAGCATAGATACTGAGTTGAGAATAGATAACAATAGGAAGGTCATTGATGAAAATTAGGAACAATGTAGGTTCAAAGATAGAATCCTTAGGAATGCCTGCATTAATGTAAAAAGCTCTAGAAGACTGGCTTTCATTTTGTGGCTTTATAAGAAAAATTGAATCAGATCAAAAATTTCTCCAGATGTACAATAACCTTTCAACTTGCAAGGAAGACCAGTATATCAAACCCTGACAAATGACTATGAGATATCCAATGCAACAGCCCAAGATTCAATATTCTTATCTAAATAAAGTTTGATAGACTCTTTCAGCAATAATTATTAATGCATCAGCAAAAACCATATTGCTTATCTGAAAGAAGATCCTGCAAGGTGAGATGCTTAATCATTTCAGAGTTAATTAGAGCCCCTAGTACTTTGCCAAAAAGAGGTAGATGGCTGTAGTGAGTCCCAATAAAAATAAAATAAATAAACAAAAATAAAAAGAATTCAAATTAAAACAAGGCATTTTGCACTTTCCTTTAAAACCCCTATCTCTTTCTTTTTCTCTCTCTCTAAACTCCTCTTTCTATACTTCTCTCTCAACTAATGAGAAGGCAACCCTCAGATAAAAAAGAGAAAGAAAAAGAAAAGACTGAACCTGGCTGAAAAACATCAGAAGTTTGCAGGAGTCAAGTCTACTTTTTTGTGACTGAAAATATCAAATATCAGGGAGGCTCCATGTATAACTTCCATTATAAAAAAAAATGAAAAAGAAAGGAACATCAGAAAATAAAATAATTTGACCAATCAAAAAAATTGACACAAAAAGACTTTTGATATTAGTGGAAACCAATGTTCACACGAGACTCTCGAACCTGGTCAAAAGGATATAAACCTGACACCTCTGGACTAGAAGATGAGACGAGAAGAGGACAAAACAAGAATGCTACCACAGAAAGAAGCCATACATGAT